TAATTAATTCATTCCGATCAGATTTGAATTAAACCTACCATAAAATTCTAAAAATTCTAATTAATACATAAATCAAATCAATTTCTGAATTATAGGGCTGTTCAAAAATCCGTTCAAACCGGTAATCTGGACCAAACCAGACCGAATTTTATGATTTGGTTTGGTTCTATTAAGAATTGGTTCGGTTTTGGATTAAGAAATATGAGAACCGTAAAAACGGTTCGGTTAATGAATTTTATGAAAAAATCGCGGTTCGAACCGAATTGAACCGAATTTTAAAAGATATATATATATATAATATCAATTTTTATTTTTATTAATTGGTTTTTTATAATTTTAATGATATTAGGATGGTATAGATATGTAATGTTGAGTAATGCCTTAATAGTATTAGTTTTTATCATGAGTTAAATGTAATTAGTTTGAGTAATTATTTTGCTAATATTAACAATTTATTCTTGTAAATTGAAATTTTTGGAACCGTGAACCAAACCGAACCGTTTTTTCGGTTTGGTTCTGGTCTGGTTTTACAAGTGTAATGGTCTGGTTTGGTTCTCAAAATCACAGAACTATTAGGATCGGTCCGGTTCTTGGATTTTCTCATAACCGAACCAATCCGAATCATGTACACCCCTACTAAATTAGATGCCGATAAGGTCTTCAATTCGCAAATCAAAATGAAAGCATGAACAGATCATTCTACGTTAAATAGATATAAACATACACAAAGTAACATGTGATGCAAAATTTCACTTTAATTACTTATTAGGCATAATTACGCATGGATTAACGTTAATTATGGGTCGAGGTTGTTATATTCCTCCTGCCGAAGCTTATCCAGGATTTTATATATATATACATATATTTTGATTTGGGCAGTTGATTTATAAATTTTGTGTAGCAACCCTCACCTTACTCTTGTCATACCTGCATACATTCATGCATGATCTCGTCTTGTTATGTTGTTTTGCAAGTTTTGCCTTGCCTTGTTTTGTTTAAGTATTGCTTGCATGATTTTGTTCCTTGCTTGGTGTGTAGCCGAGGTCATCTTGAGCTTAGTTCACCTTTGAACCTTTGTATTTAGAACTGTTTTGGAACCGCTTGGTCGACCCCCATCTTTACCCCGGGCTTGTTGCTGAGATGTTTTGCACTTAGTGATCTTTGTCCTTAGGCAGGTATGACCTAGACCGAGGTGTGACACATCTAGGCCGAGGTGTGGCACAGCTTAGTTAAGTGTCGTCCTCCCTAGCCGATGTCTTTGTTACCCTGTTGCCGAAGCTTTGACTTTAGCCGATGTCATTACTTGCCGATGTGTCTTGCCTTAGCTTGCTGCATACGCTTTGTCATAGAGTTGTCTTATCAATCAGTCACCCTTTGAGTTGAACCAACCCGGAAGCGCCACGTGTTAAATTCTCAGAAAATTACACAGTGACTTGTCTTATCAATCAGTCACCTTTTGAGTTAAGCCAACCCGGTAGCGCCACGTGTCCGAGCTGATTGTTAAGGCAGCCGGCAGACCTTGAAACAAATCATTTTCTTGTCTCAAATCTTTGTTTTAGAGAGAGAAGCTCTAGAGAGGAGGAAGAGAAGTTCTTGAGTGAGAATAGATTTTTCCAAGCTTGATCTTCGTGGTTTGAGCTGTTAGATTCGAGCTTTGGGGTAAGAATCTTAATCTATTCTGGTTGTTGCTATTGATCACCTAGCTGCATTGCATGATCGAATTTGTTTTGCATGTCATGCATCGATTTGAAGTTGGTTTCGGAAGAGAAAGATAGTATTCATGTGTTCTTGAAGAAAAGTCTCGTTTTGATCCGAAAGTTTGGAACAAGAACCATGTTTTGTGTTTGTTCTTGCATGACCCGTTGCTACCCTACTCATGAAAGTCCCATTGCTACCCTACTCATGATTTTTTGTCTAAAAAGTTTGGAGTAGTAGCATATAACCATCAAATCAATAAAAAATTTTGATTCAAAATTGGGCAATAATATATACTACTAAAAGTGGTGCTCTAAAATATTACTAAGTGAGTTGGCACACACTTAAAAAAAAAAAAAAACCGGCAACACTGTGGCAGTGGGTGGAGCCCACTGTCACATCATTAGTATTATCACTAATTAGTGGTCTCAACCATTTTCCTACAAAATTATGTGACAACTTTGATTATTATCATTTTAAAAATTACCCTTTAAATTTAAATTTTGTATAAGTTTTGGAATTAAGATTTCATTTGACAACATCACTTTTTAGTTTAAAAGTCAAAAAGTTATTAAAAAATTGAAAAGTTAGCAATGTATACTAAAAAGTTAAAGATTTTTTTTTTCTATTTTTTGCACATCTTTTTATAAAAAATTAAAAAATTATCTCAAATATATTAATTTTTTTATATCATATTTTATTAAAAAAATTAAAAAATTATTAAAATAACATATTTCTAAACCAACAATGCTACAGACTCCCAGTAAGGGTGACCCCAGTGATCCCCTAGTGCCACGTGTCAACCTGAGATTGACTGAAAATAAAAAAAAAAATTATTTTTTGGACCAATGGGAAGAACCCCAGCACCCCCACTGGGCGTCCGAAGCTTTATTCTTTCTAAACGAGGCGTGAGATAGTACTGGCTGTCAGTCGTTCTCAAGCAATGTATACTAAAAAGTTAAAGATTTTTTTTTTCTATTTTTTGCACATCTTTTTATAAAAAATTAAAAAATTATCTCAAATATATTAATTTTTTTATATCATATTTTATTAAAAAAATTAAAAAATTATTAAAATAACATATTTCTAAACCAACAATGCTACAGACTCCCAGTAAGGGTGACCCCAGTGATCCCCTGGTGCCACGTGTCAACCTGAGATTGACTGAAAATAAAAAAAAAATTATTTTTTGGACCAATGGGAAGGACCCCAGCACCCCCACTGGGCATCCGAAGCTTTATTCTTTCTAAACGAGGCGTGAGATAGTACTGGCTGTCAGTCATTCTCAATGGCTATTAATGAGCCAAGAAAAGGCCAAATCATTTTGTATACAACTTCTGTGGACAAATTTTATTGCATTGTATTGTAGGTGCTTGAAAATTGCTTGGTACCCATTTTCGGGGATCGGACTGGACCGTATTGTTGGACCCGTGCTGTTAGGCTTGTGGGGACTGGACCGTGTTGTTAGGCTCGTGCTTGAAAATTGCTTTCTACAAGGGTATGGCTTCTGTCCAGTCCAGGATCGGACTGGACCGTGTTGTTAGGCCCGTGGAGGCTCATCACGGGTCCCGTTTTGATAATCTGAACCGTTCAATGTGTAGAAATTGTCGAGTACTATATGCTAGCATAAAATCACGTTGATCGGATATCGATAGCTATGTGATCAAAATAGTTTTTTGTCAACCTTTAATTTGTTCACTGTCCAATTTTTTTAATACGAAACTGATTTGATCATATAGCTATCGATATCCGATCAACGTGATTTGTTCTAGACATATAGTACTCGACGAGTTCTACACATTAACGGTTCAGATTATCAAAACGGGACCCGTGGTGGGTCCCCACGGGCCCAACAGCACGGTCCAGTCCGATCCCGGACTGGACAGAAGCCATACCTTTTCTACAATTCTTTTTGAATCTTAACCATTGATGTATTTATGGGAGTTATTTATATATGTATGGACCCACACCATTAATGATTGAGATCCAAAAGAAGTTGTAGAAATCTCTAAAAAAGAGATCTCAATCATTGTTGTAGGTGCTTTGTTACATGGTGGTGTTTTGAAAAATTGGTAAAAAATTAACTTTTTAGCTTTTTTAGCCTATTTTCTCTTTCTATGAATAAAAAATATGAGAGATAATATGATCCAAAATGAATAAAAAACTAAAAGCAAACTTTTTATTTTGATCCCAAAACAAAGTATGGTATCAAATGGGGTATAGTTGTATGCGGAAGGCTATGTTTGTTGTGAAAATTGGACAAGAGGTTTAGTTTAGCGAGAAGAAAGACAACCAAAAAACTTAGTATATAAGAGGTCATTTGGTTGAATATCATGAAAATTAAATATTTTAAATTTTGAGGTTATTGGAGATTTGTCAGGCCATTAATTTCAGGACCTTGGGATTGTCAAGGTGCACATAAATTGATCTGGATACCCGATTATAAAAAAAAAAAATTCCTAAGACTATTATAAGGATTATCAATCCGTTTGGATTATACATCTTATCTCATATTTGAATTAGCTCAGGATTTGGGATGAATTGACAAATCTTATTCACTTTGTTTAGTTTTAGTTTTCAGAATTCACTCTTCAAAAAATTTAACTTTTTCATTTTCCGTGATATTCACTCTGGCATTCTCTTTGACAAAATCCTATTCACTGAATTTTTTTAATATTTTAAGTAATTTTTAGACACACATGACATAAATACACTTAAAAATATAATATTTGTAAAAAAATCTTTAAAAAATTCACTAAATACAAAAAATATAAAAAAAATTACGAAAATTTAGTATATTTTTCATATTTTTTTATATTTAATAATTTTTAAAAATATTTTTTCACAAATATTTTACTATTTAGATACATGTAAGTAAAGTACATCTAAAAAAATAAAAATATTGCTTAAAATTTTAAAAATATTCACTAAAAACTAAAAAAAAGAAAAGAAAAGATAAATAAAAAACTCAATTTATAAAAAACTAAATTCAGAAAACTGAAACTAAACACATTAATTAATTTTATAATTTAATTAGTTACTCCAAACATCTTCTTAATCTTATTTTATATCCCACCTTCCCTCTTGATATTCAATAATAGTCTCAAAAAATATCCTTCCTCCTGTTATTAATTTTAAATGGCATTCACTTCATAAATTAAAGCGTAACAAATCGCACATTTTAAAAACCAAATCAGAACATATAAAAAGGTTGAGGGTAATTAACTCAAAAGTCAAAAATTTAAGAAGTTAAAAAAGACATTTGAAATAACTTGTGAATGAGAATAGCCATGGAGTTGTCAATAAATATAGATAAAATTCGAAACTCGTATTTCATTTCATCATGGTAAATAGAGACAAAAACTTGTTTGCAGCTATAATTTACCTAAAAAATCCAACTAACAATACAATCATCGCGCGCAAGACACACATTACAAAAGACATGAATATCCCAGAAACGGGGGATGATATTGTAACTGATGATGAATTGATTTGTATCTCACAAACAATCACATCACAAGATGGAACAACCTCGTGGGTCTGAATCATATACCGGTTGACAGTAATAAGGGGTTGGAATAACTGGTGGAGCCATTGCCCACTGGAGTGGTTTCTCTGCTTTCTTTTCCTCCTCTTTGGGCTTCACTTCTTCCACACTTTGTATGCTGGCATATTTGCTCACCCTCCTCCTTATTGACTTGGTCAACTCAACTGAATCAATCTCTTCTCCTATTACCTCTACTTGATCTTTTCCATCTCCTTTTATTGCCACTGAGATCACACCTATGTAAAACAATTAATCAGTACCAATATTCATGAATTGAGAAAGCTATAAAATGTCACAACGCACTTGTCTTGATCATTGAATTATATCTCGAGATTTTTATTTCTCGAGATTAAAGTGTACTTATGATACACACACATATATATACACACCTTTTGTGCAAGAAGCAATCTGCATGGCTTTTGATCTGTCTTTATCGCGGCTCAATTGCATCTGAATAACAATCTTTTGCTGCAAAAGATATTAAATCACAAACATGATTGCATCTGAATAACAATCTTTTGCTGCAAAAGATATTAAATCACAAACATGCATGTCATGTCAGTACTCATGCTATCATAGAAAAGAAGCAAGTATAAAAAAAAAAAAAAAAAAACGTGATCAGTAATGGTAATGTTGTATATAGCAGAAAAGCCAGCCTACCTTCTTCATGATGATCGATTTAGAATTTCTCTTGTAATTTCTTTTGTAGGATTGTTTCTTTTCTTTTATTTGAAGCTCTGATGGGTTTTAAGAAAGGAAGTTAATTGATTTGTTTATATAGGAGAGTTTGGGTCATGAAACATTCAATGTTAGTGGTTGAGGTTTCCGATAACAGTCGTGGGTACGCGGATAAGTACTGACTAATAACAAAAAAGCAGACATTCCACTTGACTTGTTAACTCCGAACCCAGCCCAAAGACCACGTCAGTGTCAACTCCACATTCTTCCATACATGAGGTGGTAGAACGGAGGAATAAGTATTTTATGTAACAGAGTATTTGATATGGTTGAACTGATTTTATGTGTATACAGTGGATTGAGTTGAGTTGAATGATACTTTATCTGTCATCTGTTTAAAATTACGGTAGATTGTCAAAAATTAATTCACATCCGTCTATCGGTGTGACAGATGTAAATTGAGCGAGCAGTGCGGGTTGGTGGATGGACGTGATCGGTTTGATAGTTTGGACTTTATAAATTTTGAACATTTTTTTGAATATTAATTCACGACTTTTACAATATCTAATAACTAGTAATATGAAAAAATATGTATTATTTATTTATAATAGCCTATGACACTACAAATGCATATTTTTGAGATATTATTTTTATTTTTACAAAATATATATTTTATTATTTCTACTCTATATTGTAACTTGTTAGTAGTTTTTTTTTTTTTCTTTTCGAACTTCATCTATGGGTGGATAGGGTTCATGCAGGTCCGGAATGATTAATCCGCTATCCGAATCGTATCTGTGAATTTTGAAATATTTCATCTCTATCCATCTGCCAAAAAATGAGCATCCGCCTAAAATCCATCGGGTTGAATCGGCTCAGTCTGATTAGACGGATCCATGATCACCCTTAGTGCATAGTCAAATATTTAGCATTTCGTGTTGTGTATAAAGTGATTTTATGTTGCCTTACATATTTTTTAATAAATTGTCACATTATTAAATTTAAAAAGTAGATATAACTTTTAAACTAAAGAATAATGACTTGGACCTCCTTTTTTCCCCACCCCCTCGACCCCCTCTTCACTTGATTGGCTACTTTTTCTTTCTTTTCTTTTTTTTATTCCTTCTCCTACAATCACCACCCGCCACGTGTCTGTGAGGGGGGGATAGGAGAGTGGTGATTAGAGGGGGTCTAAACTAAAATAGTATTGTCCTTTGACAAATAATGTGACAAAATACTCAATATTTTCTAAACCCACTAACCAACCGCAGTTTAGAAGGGAAGAGATGTCTTTCGGTGTTGTCTTTGTGTGATGGGCTTTACTTGGAGTTTATTTCGGTTATTTAAATAGTTAAATATGTAAGATTCATCAAATATATCGGTTATATTTGATATGTTTCTCAGAAACAATTTTTTAATTTTTTATTTAAAAAAAGAGAAATTAATTTAATAAAAATAAACACGAAAAAATTATTTTAAAATTATTTATGCATCCTAAAAAGATAAAATTGTATGAAAATGGTTAATATTTTTTATTTTTCTACCAAACTATGTTTGAGATTTTTAGAATTTTTTTTTTTAAACCAAATCAAATAGAACCATCATTTTTACAAAAAAAAAGAAGCTAATTCAATATCAGTAATTACTTAATTAAATTATATTTGTGCTAACGCCAAATATAATTCTAGTGTCAAATGGGTTATCCTAAAATCATATATTGGAGTGGCCACAAATCCTTTACTAGTTGGTTTCACAAATGCTTTAGAGATTACTTTTGCAATTTTTTTAGTACAATTCATAAATTAGGCGATATAATTTAAAAATCAACTAAAAATGATTGTCGCAATTCATTGCCTCCGTTTGGCAAGTTGGTTTTTAAGTTTTTTTTTTTTGACTATTTTAGTCACAAAAGATAAAATAGATTATTATAGTCATAAAAAATAAAATATCACATCTAATCCATAATCATTAAACTATTCTCTCACAAAAAAAGTCAAAAAAGTTAAAAAGTCAAAAAACCCTTCTCAAACCAAGCTTTTTAACCCAAATTAAAATAACCAAAAAAATCAAAAAGCTAAAAAACTAATCCTCTTCCCAAACGAAGCTAATAGCTATTCACACTACAAGAAAACCCATTTTTGGCGACCATTTTTGGCTACCAAAACAAATTTAGTCGCCAAAAGTGTGGGAATTGGCTACCAAAATTACTTTTAGTCGGCAAAAGTGAACTTTTTAGCTACTAATTTTTTTTAGTAGGGGAATGTTGATTATTGGCGACTAAAATAAATTTAGTAGCTAAAAATATTACAATTGGCCACTAAAAATTTTTTTAGTAGCTAAACATATCACAATTGGTGACTAAAATAAATTTTAGTAGCCGTAGAGGCACCTTTAGCTACTAAATTGTTTGGTAGCCGAATGAAAATAAAAAAAATTATTTTTGATCTTTTGGTCGCCAAAAATATATTTTCAGCGACAAAATAACTTTTAGTCGCTGTAGACCTACTTTTGGCTACTAAATTGTTTGGTAGCCGAATGAAAATAAAAAAATTTATTTTTGATCTTTGGCGGCCAAAATTTGGTCACCAAAAATATATTTTCAGCGACAAAATAAATTTTAGTCGCTGTAGACCTACTTTTGGCTACTAAATTGTTTGGTAGCCGAATGAAAATAAAAAAAATTATTTTTGATCTTTGGCGACCAAAATTTTGGTCTCCAAAAATGATTAAACAAAATACTTATTTTATTTTATTAACAACAATACCATTAGTCTCCACTTGAAAATTTGACTAAACAAAATAGTTATTTTATTTTTATTTTTATGAAAAGGTTGTCAAATCTTGAATTTTTCGTATAGAGATTGTCAAATCTTAAATTTGTTTTTGTTTTTCCAGTATGAATAGATTAACAACAATGACATTTTATGTCTCCACTTGAAATTTGACTTTCTTTTTTTTTTAAATGAGAAAAATAAAATTGAAAGAAGCTTCTTTTTTAAAAATAAAAATAAAAATAAAAATAAAAATAAAATAAAATAAAATAAAACAACTATTTTGTTTAGTCAAATTTTCAAGTGGAGACTAATGGTATTGTTGTTAATAAAATAAAATAATATTTTTGTTTAATTATTTTTGGCGACCAAAATTTTGGTCGCCAAAAACCTGGGATTCACCGACTAAATTACTTTTTAGTCGCCAAAGACCTACTTTTGGCTACTAAATAATTTGGTAGCCGAA